AAGACATACATTTCCATTACAAAATCAAATGGAGTATAAAAGACATATTGAGAAGTTAGTTATTCAACAAATATTTATTGAACATCTACTATGTACTCAGGCATTGTGCTTAAAACTGGGCCTAGACCAAGGGATATAGTATCTATGGATCTTGCTTGCTAGAGATTAGTATCTAGTTAGAAAGACCAACATAAAAAAGTGACATGCTAATTATGATTAAAAATAAAGTAAAATAAAATATAAAAAGAGATGTATAGACTGCAGTCATAATACATAATACAAACATAGACTAGTTTGGGGACCAGAGTATAAGTTATAATAATGGTCACTCTGACTGTTATTTAAAGAATGGAAGGTTGGAGGCAAAGTAACGTGAAAGCCCAGTTAGGAGGCCATTGTAATAATGGAGCTACTATTTCCTTTCATCATGGAACTTACATTGTAATATAAACATTGTGCATGAAGTACCAAGAATGAATAATAGAAACTTGCACAACTTAGGTTCAGGTTTTCTGTTTATTATTTTGCATAATAAACCATCTTGAAATTTAGTGGCTAATGACACAGATTTATTATAATGTCTCACAGTTCTCGGAGTTGGCTGTGCTCAGTGGGTGATTCTCACTTAGAGTTCTCTTGTGGTTGTAGTAATACAGTAGCAGGTATTTGAGTAATCCCAATAAGCAACCAAGATGACCTTTATTGCACACAGGCCTGAAACATCAACATAGCTTTACGTGGCCATGAGGGTAGCCTGAAGTTCTCATGTGATGGCTCAGAGCTCCAAAAGACAGGAAATCAAGCTTCCAGTCTCTTTAAAGGACTCTACTTGAAACAGGTCTAGCATCATGTTCATTGTACTCAGCTGGTCAGAGCAGTCACAGGCCAGTCCAGATTCAAATTGACCAAAGAAAAACTCCACATATTGATGAAAGGTGTCATGAACAATGGCAAGATGACCAAGATAACACCCCCTACCCCCGCCAAATAATCTTTGTCATTTTTGCCCTGTAGGTTTCCCTTCCACACTTAATAGGGGTGATCCCGTGTGCCCAATATGATACTGTGGACATGATGGTCTGTGACTTCTCAAGCTGGATCATACAAGCCATTGTGGCATCTGCCTTGTCCTTTTGGGTCACTATTTTTAAGGGAAACCTAGCCCGTCAAACATTGATTAGCCTTCTGGAGAGGCCCACATGGAGAGAAGCTGAGGCCTTTTATCAACAGCCAGAACCAACTTGCCAACCAGGTGAGTGAGCCGCCTTGGAAATGGACCACCCAGCCTCAGTCAAGCCTTCAGATGATTGCAACCCGAGTCTTTATTTCGAATGCAGCCTCAGGGGAGACCTCAAGCTTGAATACCCATCTAAGTTTCTCCTGACCCTGACCCTGACCCACAAAAGCTTTGTGCTGCACTAAACATTTATTATTCTTTAAGACGGTTAAGTTTTGGGGTGACTTGTTATGTAGCAATAGATAAATAGTATAGAGGCCATTTTAAGAGATAACACGAGGGCACTGCTTATGTTTGTGTCAGCAGTGAATCTCATGCAGTGTAGGACCTGACGCAAGGCAATGTAATGAAAGAAAGAAGGTCATGTTATTATAGTCTCCCCATTGCATAGCTTCTGGGAATTGAGGTAAGATACACATACTGAGTGACAGGAAGGGCAGCGAGTGGAAGAGGGATTCTGGGTACAGAGGAAACATGGGTTTCATGCAAAAATAGACCACTCAGGAAGGTAGGCGATCACCTTTAGGCAGGCATGGCTGGATTGCTGACACCCCTGACCAGTACTGTAGAAGTCAGAAACCAAAGCTTTCTGAACACTAGAAAGTTATGTCAAAGACTTCCTGTTGGTGCACATGTCCTTTTCTCCGGTCATAGACAGTGATGGAACTGATCTGCACAGAAACCGATTTGCTCTTCAAAGAAGCTGCTGGTTGCTGCGCAGTGACTTGTGCTCTTCTAGGCTGGCTACCCATGAGTTGATATTTTCTTTGTGTAAAAGATAAAGTTAAGCTTTTCCCCCCAAGTTTTTTATTTAAATAAATATTCATTGAAAAACCGCAAGAGAGCAACAGAGTTAAATACACATTCCTAAAACAAATGCTTAGAAATTCAGAAGTCATATAACTAAAATCATGATTGCTGAGTTTTACAATTCACAAAGGTTTCCTGAGTTTTTGAAATATTAAAGAAGATATCCAAGAGAATGAACCTTAACTATATTTTAACACAATTTTGGCCTACTGCTTCTATATATTAGGCTTTTTCCAATATATAATTGTGGTATAACAAATAACAATAAATATTAAGAGGTTTTTTAGTTGGAACATTTTGAAAGACTGCTTTGTGATAAAAAGTAGTATTATAAGTAAAATATACACACATTAAGCTCATATGTATTATTTGTAAAGGGGCTATGTTTGAAAGAAAGATAGAGGCATGGCCTGAGTAAGAATAGACAGGGTAAGAAAGAGTATTCCAGGAGGGAGAAATAATAGATGAGGTGTTTGGGAAGGGGGACAGACAGAATGAGACACATACAAAGGTTAGCAAGTAGAATTCTCTGCCTGGAGCACTGAGTGTGTGCTGAACAATCCCCTCTTGCCCAAATGCCTTCTTGAACCTCAACTTGTCATGTCAAGTTCCCTCCCTACAATCAGAGTGTGCACATTCTCTTCGATGTTTCCCTGGCTCCCGGAATGAGGAAATAAAGGCCTTGCACCCTCCCTCAAAATATGCTGCTTCCATTCCCTACATAAAACTCTTGCACTGATGTTGGGAGACAGGCTCAGAAAAGGTAAGTGCGAACTGAAACGGAGTAATCCAAACAGAGAGAGCTGGCGCAAAGCTGTCTGGGCACAGGTAGATACACCTGGAAATGATATTGGTTTATCAGTGTGTGTGTGTGTGTGTGTGTGTGTGTGTGTGTGTGTGTGCGCGCGCGTGTGCACTCGCATGGAGGGGGGAGGGGGCGTCAGAGAAAGGAAGATTTGTGGCCCGCATGAAATCACACAAATGGCACATATATTCCACACAAAGTTTTTGTATTTTCAAATCAAAGGACTGCCTTTCAGTGTTTGAAACAATGAAAACCATGGATGTTGCATATTGTTCTTGTTAGGTGTATATTTGGTTCAGTATCTTCTAATAAGGACAACTAAACAACAGAATTAAATATGCATGCATCCTTTTTTTAAATTGTAAAAATAATGTACTCTCTTTGAAGAAAATGTGGAAATACAGACAAGTACAGAGAAGAAAGAAGAAGAAGAAAAAACCACTACCCAAGAAAAACCACACTATTTGTTTGGTATATTTTCTTCTACCAGCCCACCTCCCCCCTTCTTCCTATTCATCGTGTTTTACACACACACACAATGTAATTTTGTATTTTTCTTTAGTTTTGTAAGTATTTTCTTTATTAAGTGTCTATTTTTTGTAAACACCACAAGAAATTACTGTGCTTTGTTTCATCATGCGTGAAAATGTAGCCATTGGTTTCTTAATCATTCCTCTCTGTATATTTAGGTTGGTTTGATATTCAGTTATAAATAATATGGTGATAAACTTCTTTGTATATTACATTGTATCTGGATTTAGGAGTCCCATAAAAGATAGAATTCTGGAAATTTGATTACTTTATCAAAGGATAGAAACAGCATGCATGTTACTCTTTATGGTTATATGAACATGGGCTAGATTCTTTGATGAGGTGTATTTTCTCTTAACAATTAATAAATTCTAATTGAGACCCAAAATCATGTATAAGACAAGGTTCATTTAGAATTGGGCTTCTATCCAGACTCGGTGTCACTACCGTAATTGTTCTCCTGTGTCTTGAATGCCATGGGGAATGCTGCATGGTTACATCCATTGCTTTGGTAGTAAATATACACAATTGTCCCCTGAATGGTTTCTCATGCAAGAGACAGGAGAGCGGAGGGGTAAAACAACTTGAAAAACAGCACCCAAGAGTCCCAATCAACATTCTTTGCCAAATAGCATGAAAGTGTAAGAAGGTAACATAGTACTTAAAACATAGGATCCTCTTTCTACCTTATTCATGTTTTTAAAAATACAAACTTTTTAGAATATGCCCTTCTTATAAAACTTCACTCAAAGGATCCCTGCATAGATGTTTAGATACAATATACAAACCTTTATGACCAAAGAAGTGTCATTACAATGATATTGCTTACTTTTTTTTTTTTAGAAGCTCACCTTTGGTAAATAAATGAAGCTCATATTTTTACTCATTATACTGTTTCAGACTGTTTGCTTTTCAGTAACTTTTCATTACCATGTAAATATTTTTATATGTTGTTATGAGAGCATCCTCCTATTAGTTTCAAATCCTGTAGTGTTATAATCACACAAAAGGCTGAAGTACTGATTATGCCTCAGATAATGTAGCTGTTAATGATCAACTTAATGCTAAAAGCCATTACTGCTCATTGACATAATTCTGAGAACATTATACTGTAAGAAGTGCACCTTTTGTGTGGAAGCAGAATGACAAAATTGAAATGTTAAAAGTTGAGTGTCTGAATAATAGCCTGTGAAATCATTTAGACAAGACCATTGTCGCCTCTATTGTTCAAAGACCAGAGAGTGACAGGATGAGACAAAAAAGGAGAAAACCACAAGGGCTCCCCTTGCAGGTCTGCAGGGAGATGGGAAGTGAAGAGGATCCCTATTTGTCTGTTTCCCTCTCTTCCTGGAGGGTCTTCATCTAACAACAGAGCACCCTCCTCTGGCCACTTGCCAAAAGGGGACGCAGGCCTGATTGATTGGCAGGAATCAGGCCAGGCAGGGAGTTGCTGTAAGTGCCCTGCAAGGATTTTTCCAATAAAAAGTTGCCTGAGAGTGACCGGAACCTGTCACCCTTGGCCCCCTCCACACTGATGAATTAAGACTTTTCAGTTACGAAGAAGCATTTGGAAGCTGGAAAGGGACTTTAGAAAAGTGATGAGTACAGTTACCTCACCTTCCCGAACACCGGGTCAGGCCACTTTGGGACTTTGCAACTTAGTGTCCGTTTTCTGTTGTATCCGTGGTCCACTTTGATCTGGAGAATGGAGGGAAGTCAAGAGGTCAGAGAGACAGATGGTGTGTACATGTGCTGGTGTGGGGGAGGGATATGTGTGAGTCACCAGGCTGGTTTGATGGAGGCAATGATACCTAAAATAGAGGTGTCAGTCACTGTTGGATCATCTAACTTCACATTTCCATGGTTAAACACATAAATCCTTACCTTCATTAACCATATAATAATGTCAATCTTTAGCCACAACAGCATACAGGTGAGCAAATATGGATGGATTACAAGTTCATCACTGTTACTAGAAATATCCCAAGTTACCATATGCTTATAGTGGGTGAAAGTATTTATAATAATAATAAAAGCATAATATGCTAATTAGACCGGATGACCTTTATGACGAAGCTGGGGCTGCGAGGGAAGCCGGGTCCCGGGTGCCAGAGGGAAGGCATACTCTTGCAAGAATTTCATGCATCGGGCCTCTAGTCTTTCTATAATATTGATGTTACTGCACACTTTGTTTCAGGCACTGCTCTAAATGCTTTATACTAATACATATCAACAGGAAAGACTTTGCTAAAAGTAGGCACATGCAGTAGAAATGCACAGATTCTTTAGAATGTCAGAGAGGAAGAAATAATAATTATGTTCTCACAGGGGATCTTTTAAAGAAAAGATCGTATTATACTTGATACTGCTGCTTAAGAAAGATAAATTTGTTTTACATATTAAATTTTTTCTATAAAGTGATTATTTAAAAATGTTTTATTTACATTGAATTTTAAAAATTAAACTTTTTAAAAGAATAGTTTAAATTTACCAAAAAACCCCACAAAACTGCAAAGTAGTACAGATAGTTCCCATATACAATTTCTCCTTACACTACTGTGGCATATTTGTCATAGTTAATGAAATAATATTAATGCCTTATTGTTAATTAAAGTCCATAGTTTATTGAGATTTCCTCGAGTTTTTCTTAATGTCTTTTTTTTCTGGATACCATCAAGGATACCACATTATATTTAGTTGTCATGTCTTCTTAAGTTCCTCTTGGCTGTTAAGGTTTTTAAGATTTTTCTTTTGACTTTTACTTTCTCAGGCTTTCCTTGTTTTTGGTGACTTTGACAGTTTTAAAGCCTATTGGTCGCCCAGTGGCGTGGTTCAGTGGTTGAGCATCAACCTATAACCAGGAGGTCATGGTTCAATTCTGGGTCAGGGCACATGCCCAGGTTGCAGGTTTGATCCCCAGTAGGGGGTGTGCAGGAGACAGCCGATCAATGATTCTCTCTCATCATTGATGTTTCTATCTCTCTCTACCTCTCCTTTGCTCTCTGAAATCAACAAAAATATATTTAAAAAATAAATAAAGAGTACTGGTCAGGTATGTCATAGAATGTCCCTAAATGGGGATTTGTCAGATGCTTTTCTCAAGAATAGAATGAGGTTATGGGGTTAATTTGTAGTATTACTGAAAAAGTTTTCAGGCTTTTGGCATATTAGTTTTGGAGAATAGCTCATAACCTTTATTTAAAAAGAAAGCACTATTTATTTAGGGCAAGAGAGTGCTATAGATTAGACTGGTATATGGATATGTCCCAAGGAGTTCACAGATACATAAAAGACTAAATTTTTCAGAAGTCATTCTGAAAATATTTACTCAACAAACATTCACAGAGCACCACTGTTTGCCAGTCTCTGCTCAGAGCTCAGGCAACAAAAATCTGAACTAGTGATAGAAAGTTAATTTCTCAAGTGGCCATGGAAGGAGGGCTTTCCGATAAAGCTCTGAGAAGAAAGAGATGATACAACTTCCTTCCATAACCCATTAGCATCTTTATTTCTTTTTCTCCCAGCCGAGATGGAAATTGGCAATAAATCCTTATTGATACCATTCCATAACCAAAAGCTCAGTTTTCCTTAATAACAAATTCAATAGGCTCTACCATTCTTGGTCACATGTACTCTTTTTGTGTGTACCTTCTCAGTCATTTCTTATTCAAGATTTCTGCCTTTAAAACATTTATGCAAGATTACCTCCATTAGGCTTCATGCTGTTAATAAAAGCATTTTATTTTGAAATAATTTTAGACCTTTAGAAAGTGACAAAAATAGAAGAGTTTACATAAACCTTTCACTAAACTTCCCCTAATGTTAACAGCTTACATAATCCTGGTACAATTATCAAAATCAGGAAATTAACATCGATACAGCACCTTTTTCTAAACTTAGAGCCCATATTCGAGTATTGCCAGTTTTTCCACTGATGTCTTTTTTTTTTTTTTTGGTCCCATGATCCAATCCAGGATTTTACACTGGATATAATTGCTGTGCTAATTTTTTTTCCATCTTGACAATTTCTCAGTTTGTTCTTGTGTTCCGTCATGCTGACATTTTTTTGTAACATTTTGATAGGTGGTGATTTTGTAGAATGTCTCTCAATTCGAATTTGACTGATGCTTTGCAATGATGAAGTTGAGATTATGAATTCTGGACATGAATACTACAGAAGTGTATCGTATCCTTAGTATCATACTGAGGGATACTGAATGTTGATATGACTCATTACTGGTGATGTTAAACTTGATCACTTGGTTAAGATAGTTGTTTTCTGGGTTTTTCCACTGTAAACTTAGTAATTTTCCCATTTTATCAATAATACTTTTAGATGATGCAAATACCTTTTATTATTTGTTTTGTGTCCCCTTTCCTTATCATTTGAAGGCTCCAGACAATATTATTCAAAATTGATTCTATCATTAAATAAGTCATTAGAGACAATGATATTTGACTTTTCTCCAATAGGTATTGGTTCATTCTTATTTAGTATGTTTTTTTAAAGGGTTGGTGAAAGATAGAATATTCTCTTCAATTTAATCAAACAATGTGGAAAAAAATAGGTGGACAAAGATCAAGAGTGTCCATAAATTGTACTCTGAATTAGTGATGAAGAAAAAGCACCTCAGTCAGGGCACAATGGAGCCATCCAATATCGGTACCAACTTTTCACTCTTTGATTTTCCAAAAGTTGTCCTTTAGTCAGCTCTACTCTTTACAATATCCTAATCTTCCTCAAGAATTCTATCCTAATGCTATTGGGAAGAGTTACTTTAAAATCAGGCCAATTAACTACTAATGAATTAGGATGCATTAGCCGTAACTACATGGGATCCTAATTAGAAAAGGACAAACTACTTTGGGAAGAAGTAGGTCTAAATGTTTGTTATGCAATTCTATTATTTTTAAAGTTAATATTTTTATATTGACCCTGCATTTAAAGCCTCTGGGTCCTTTCATTTAACACTGGATATCTGCTTCAATCATTGCGTTCTCTGCTACATCATCCACTTCTCTAACAGAGTTGATAGGGGTCAGTTTTCGCCACGTCATCCCTCTCCCCTAAAGACTTCTTGCCTTTTAGCCCCAAATAGTTTCTTTTTGCTTATCATTGACTTTACTTTTTGAATTTCCTTTAGTTTTTATTAATTTATTTATACTCTGCTGTCACCCCCAAAGTCTATGTCAGTGTGTACATGTTGTTGTTACTTTCAAATTACTCCCAAATACGCATTCAGTTTATTTGTTCATTTGCTTCACTCTGCCCTAATGTAAACCGTGGGCTAGGCTAAAGGGGAAAAGCGAAGATTAAGAAGTGAGATTCCTGTTTCATAAACCTTATGCCACCAGAGGATATTTTCAAGGTAACATCTTCTCTGAATCTGGACGATCTTGTGAATGAGACCTCGGATGTTAGGGAGGCATATAGTGTGTTTTAGAATATATAAAATATACCCCAAGAGGATAAAAAGTTTGCCTTATATTCTAGTGAAAAGGGAAATTGGCAGGTGCTATTGGTCATTATTCTAAAGGTAGGTGTGAGTGCAGAAATGGAGAGCAAAGGAGGACACACAAGGAGAGAATGAGAAAGAAAAGGGGGTAGAGGTGTTAGGGGAGAGAGTGAAGGGGTGTGGAGCAGTAGTAAGGGCTGGAAGAAAACACACATTGTTCAGTAGCGAAGGGAATTTGAGAAGGTAATGAAGAGTTCTTTATGAGAAACAAGTGAAACTCATTTGCTCCCTTTGAAGAGGCAACAAGAATACCCTCAGCTTGTTCGTGAGTTTCTGAACCCTGGTTCACCCACCCACCACGAGCTCAGAGGCTGTGGGAAACCAGAGGCAATTGTTATTCTCACAGAGTCACATTCGGAACTGACCCAGCCCCTGCTGTTCTATCAGGAGGCTAGGTTGGCAGCAAACAGATCCACTCCTGATGTAACTGGAGGGGAGAGCTTAATGCCTTTGCACTGCCATTTGAATTTTTTCTGTTTGAAAGAGCATATAGATTATTTATAGTCCACATCATAAACCGGAGGGTCTTTTCATAAACTCATAGATTATGTAGCTCAAAGGAGTTTATTGAAATAATATCTGAATTTGCCCATGACAGTGACATTCCATAAGCGTTTATCCGGTGTGGAATAGGATTTCCCACCTTAACCCAGGGTATCTGGGTATCATTTCAACATTCAGAAGGAAGATGAAAGAGTGACTTTAGGTCATTGTACCTGTTTCTCACATAATGTTTTTTCTTAAAAACAAAAACACAGACCAAAGCAGGTAGAGGATCATTGATTAAACACACACACACACACACACACACACACACACACACACACACCAAACAAAAAACAAACAAACAAACAAACAAACAAAACCTGGGAAGAACCCAACCAACTGCCTTCTAAAGCAACTAAGTATAAACCCTTTGATTAAATTTTCAAAAAATGTAAGTTTTCCTGGTCAGCATATTAGGGGTTTAGGGAGTTTGACTTGGATGTGATTCAAGAAGGAGCAACAAGGATGTAAAAACCCATGTCATCATAGCCAGAAGCTTTGATTCCAGCTACATTTATTTATTCTCTCATGCCCCCTAAATGCTCACCGGTTGTCTGAAAGTGTGGGGTTATCATTCACACCACTCACATCGCCACTGTAGTTCACCCCTGCACCCCCTTTGAGGGCTCTTTTGGC